ACAATGGAATTTTAATCAGTTCTCTCTCAGCTTCATCTCATTATTAGTTTTAATGAGGCAGTACTGAGTCTGTCGATAATTCAGGAAGAACCTGCCATACTAACATTATTAGATCGTTTTATTTATTGATGTAAAATATCTCTACTCTTATTTAGAACTTCTTTGATATCATTTATCACTTTCATATAATTTGTACAATTATACATATCTTGTAGCTTTTGTCACTTGTATATATTTGGTTTATTATAATGATATATTTAATTCAGGTGATATGCGAATGTATGATGTGTTAATAATTTATATTTATTATTTGAAAATTTTATATGTAAATAATATATCTTGAACATATCCTACCCTCCTTGCTCTGGAATTTCTATACATAATCCCTCCAAAATTCTTGCCTTCCTTTTTTTCTTTTTACTGTTATTATTATGTCTTAACTCACTAAATCCATTAGTAGTTGCCCAAATTCTCAATTGTGTGTGGTCAATTGCTGGATCTTAATAAACCATTCAATTGCCACCTCTTTCCCAACAGAAGTAAATGATTTTCACTGCCCTAGAAGGCATCAACTGACAATAGCTTCTTAAGTAGGGTCGAGCGTAAGTACATCTTTACCATAAACCTGTGTTGGAACTTTCAACTGTGTTGATCTTATGCAGTTATATGCAGGTAACCACAGCTGATTTGAGTTTATGAACACAATAGTTATATCATATCAAGAAGACAGAGTTTCATATTTCCACCTTCCTCCCCTCCACATTTTACATTCTTTCTGCTCAAATTTCAAAGATATTCCTGAGTCATATTAGAGGGTGAATAAGGTGATGTAGGTATCCCATGTAAGGCTCAGCATTTGCTTATTCTCAGCACTTTGAATAGTAAGGAATTTCTACATTAGTCCTGACTCAACTAAAGTGCAAAGCATCTCTGACTGGTTGAGAGCGTGAAAGTTACTTATATGCAGCATGTAGTTTGACAACATGACTGATAAAACAATAACAATTAATGTCTCTAACCTCTTAAATATATGTATTGTTTTAATTTCAAATTGCTAATTGTTGGTATTTTGGAAAATGACTGACTTTTGTGTTTTAATTTTTCATTCTTTACCTTACTTGATATCCCAAATGAATTGTGGAATCTTAGTCCATCTTTTTCAGATTTTCTACTTATATAATCACATAATGGGAAAAAGTTTTAATTCTCTGTTCTAATATAAATATTGTGTTTTTCTCTCATATCATTCTTTTAGGAATTTCAATAAGTGGAAAATAAATAATAGGATATTCTTGATATTTCTACTCTGAATGAAAATATTCTCCCAATGATTTTGTTACCTATAAATAGACATTTTATTTAAGTTCAAGAAATTGCTTTCTATACCAATTTGCTGAGAGTTTGTCTTAAAAATTATTGAGTATTTTTTTTAAATTCGTGTTATTATTTTGAGGTGCTACAGAAACAACACACAGTTTTTCACATGCTAGATATTCTACAACAGTGCTACTGCCTAGATAAAGATATTGATTTACACTATTTTCTGAATTGGTTGATCCAACTTTGTACTTTTAAATCTGCTGATATGATGGCTTATATTATTTTATTTTTGAACATTGACCTTATGTGGCATAGCTTTGATAAATCCATTGAATTTTTGGCGTGTAATTCTTCCACATATTGTTAGACATATTTATTTATTTTCCAATGCTAAGTTTCAAACATTAGATCCATCTCCACAACCAACAACTATTCTACCACTGAATTACATCCATAGTCCATGACACTGGATTTTATTTGCTAATATTTAATTGAAGATTTATGCATATTATCAATGCATACTTTAAATATTTTGGTCACAATAATTTAACCATGGTTATCAGCAAAAAACTTTCAATAGTAAATCTGAAATGAAATGTATTCAAAGTAGGATGGTTGGAGAGGAGTTGGTGATAATTAATATGATGAAGTAGACTTAAGATAGGTCTTATGTACTACATATGGTAGTACATTGTTTGGGAGGCAAAAATGACTAAGACCAAGACCAGCATGGTCTACTTAGTGAATTTCAGGATAACCAGGGCTACACAAAATGACCTTCCTTTAAAACTTTTTAAGTAAATATCTAAACCTAAGTAAAATTAGATCTTATGGAATTGACAGATAACTTTGAAGTTAAGATAAATAGGTAAAAGTGATGCCTTAGATTCTGGAGAGACGGCTGCGCAGTGAAGAGCTCCTCCAATATCAAACTATATAAACAACCAAAAGTCTTTGCAGAGAAATATCATGATCTTTATAATTAAGATGAGACTAATTAATTAGATTCCACAAATTATGAGTATAAAAAACCCAAATTTTAAAAGTGGTAAGATTGAAGTTATTAGTTATACACAGCTCTTGATACTTAGCAGGCTTTTCTTTAACATCTGTTAGATAAGTGATGTTTTAATAATGGTCATAAAATATGAGAATATACAAAAAATGAAATTTAAAGGGTAGCCAAAGAACAATCCGGTATTTATTACACACATTGTTGCAACAAAATACCTCAAAAAAGCCACTTAAGAAAGAGGGGACATATTGGAAGGTATAGTCTATCATCCCATGGAAGTCATGGTGATGGGAGTTTGGAATTAGAGGCAGCTTGTTACATTCTATCAGGAATCAGAAAGCAGATTGAAGTAGCTATTGGTGCTCAGCATTCTGACTTCTTTGATTTGGTCTGGAAAGAACCCTAGCCTATGGAATGATACTGTACACATTCAGAATATGTTCTCCTACCTGTTAACCCAATCAGGAAATCTTATGTCCAGAGGTGTGACTATAGATCTCCTAATGTTAATAACCAAGATTAATCATCACAATTCCTAAATGTTTGGGACTCTACCTTTCTTTAAAAAGAAAATTATGAAAACAACCAAATTGATCACATTACATGATATATTCGATGTAACTATCTCTATATAGACAGAATATAGTGTGCTGTGTTGTGTAGAATAATCTGAAACTAAGAAAAATAAAAGGACTGAAGGAGGCATTGGCAAATAAATGCAAGTTCAGAAAGAAAAAGTAAATCCCTACAGAAAATATAAGGGCAACGGTCAGTGAAACAGGTAATTGTCATTACACAGAAAGATCAGAATTGTTAAACTAAAAAGCTGTCTTAGAACAAGCTATTATAGGAAAAAAAGAGAACATTCAGCAAATTAAAATAAGGATTTAAGAGCAGTTGAAGAGTGACAGTCTAGTCTAGTTGGAAACCTAGGTAGGAAGCAATAATACAATATTAGAATAAATTATAAATTAGAATAAATAATAAAATAATTAACTTAAAATTTTAAAAGCTGAATATTCACTTCAAATGGAAATAAAACTAGAAATAAACCATACAGGTTAACTATTCTAATAAACTAATAGTCCCAACTTTATAAGAATATTTACATCTTATTACAGACTTTATCCAACACACTTTACATAATTTAATACTTTAAATATAGCATTTGTATCCTTGTATTATTAGAGGTAAGTGTTTATAGTTTTGAATTCATAATGATTTTTTCTTATGGTCCCTTTTGTCCTTCAGTGCTTTTAAAAGTAAGATTATGGATACAGTTGAAATATTTAGAAATCCTGAGATTCTAAATTCACAGTAATAATAACAAATTCCTATATATTATTTACTCTGTGTCATATATAGCAAAGTGAATTTCATATTTTTACCAAAGAAAATACCAATCACAATGGAAGTTAAATTTCATATTACAAAGCAATTCTGAAAGTTGAAATGAAAAAAAGAAAAGCAAACTTGATATTTTATAAAGATCAGATCCTTAAAAGCAGGAGTAACAAGAGCAGCAGTATTACACTGAGTAGTGCATTAGAACTTTGAATGCCAATCCCCTAAAAATACCATAAACACACAAAGTAAAAAGAAGGGAACTTTGAAGAGAGAAACTTTTGAAGAAGGCAGTTTGAAGTAACCTCTAGCTTTGAAAACCAGTTACACTATCTCTGCTTCCCTGCCCCCACTTGCTCATCTAGGGATATACAAGGAATATATAGAAAATTATAAGCAGGCCAAAAGCTAGCTTTGAAAACCAGTTACACTATCTCTGCTTCCCTGCCCCCACTTGCTTATCTAGGGATATACAGGGAATATATAGAAAATTTTAAGCAGGCCAAAAGACACAGCTCAGAGAAGTAATGTAATCTGTATAAAACACATAGGAACCACCCAAATAGGCTTCACAATAGACCAGAATACCCTGAAAGCTCTTCCTTTAACCACTATTATACTCTGTATATTGTTTTTTTGCACCTGAAGGTATGGGGACTGAAGAGTCAATAGCTAAATTTTTTGTGAAACTCACTACTCAAGTCTCTGAAAGCATTAAATCAGACACAATAGAAATAATTTTTTTAATGCATGGGCAATAGAAATAAATTTTAAAGATTTATTATTATTATTTTTACCTCTCTCTGCATGCATTGCATGTGTGTACACACTTTAATGCAGGTGCCCAAGGTGGCCAGATATATTGGATTTCTCTGGAGCTGGAGGTATGGGTGGTTGAGAGCTGCCTGATATGAGTGTGATGGGAACCAAAATCAGGCCTCTGGAAGAAGTAATTCACTCTCCTAACAGCTGATCTATCTTTCCAATACCTAGAAATATTTTTAACATAGAATTCAGCATTTTCTGTAGATGGGTGTGTCTCAAGCCTCTTCACCTATTAGACAATACTAGTACCTGATTGCCTTCCTGACAAAGCCTGTCAGGGATTATTTCTAGAGGGGTACAATTTATACACACTAGGTACACTATGGAGTTTTCATTCTACATATGTAGTATCTGTAAAGTGGCATCTATTCAGAAAATGACCTTAGAGTCATTGATTCAAGTAGGCAAATTTTTTTCTTGTCATTATACACAGAGTAATTTTATGCAGCATAATTGCAAATAATTGTATCTCTCTCCCTGTCTCTCTTGTTTTCAGTGTTAGTGGAAAGTGGAACTGTCAGTCCATTTGTAGGTTTTATTAATGCTGGATATTGCAACATTTATAGAAATATTGTGGGACTTATGAGAATACGAGTAAACAAAGTGGTAAGTTTTAACATATTTGTTCAATTTAATAATTAACCATTCTAATGAATGCAGGATGCTGGGTAGCATCTCTCATGCATGTTGAACATCACCTTGTTTTATTTAAGAAAATAGTAGTTGAATTATTTGGGGACTTTTATTTGTTTTATTTTTATGTAATAAGATGCAAGATTGAGGAATGAAACATGTGGAGTAAGACAAGTTGACTTAAAAAATTTCAAAATAACCAATAACCACAATATAAGATAATCCTCTCCATTGTAAGAGCATTGGTATTTAAAACCATAGCAAGGTGCTACCAAAATTGAACAGAAGGGTAAGAACTTTATCACACAATTCACCTTTCTCTGTAAATATTTATTCATTGAGAAAGGAAAACCTGCTTACCTAAAAAGATTCACATTAATTCTCACAGTTCTTGAACTAGAAGCAATCTAGATGTTCATTAGTGATTGTATAGTGTTATTGCACTATATTGGATAATGGTCTACCATACAGAGTGGAACAGAATCAATGATAAATTTAAGTTGTGTGAATCTCAACACAGATGGTGTGAGAACATCAAAACCCAAAGAATACCACATACTCATTTTACTTTTCTTAACCAGGACAAAAGACTCATATAATAAACAATGAATGATTATTTCTCCAAAAGTATCTAATAGGATTCAAATACATATGTAAGCTGGCTTATGCTATGACTCATTAGTCATATTCTGGGTAAAGATTTAGCATTTGCAGAAATGGCAAATATTCAAGCTGTTATGACTTTGACATCAACCCATTTACTAAAGGATTCCTTGTCCTAGTGCCTGTCAAATGACTGTCCTGGGGAAAACTCTTTTCCATTGCTTACTGCTAACTGATGATAATTAGTTCTCCCAGAAAAATGTCAACATTCTCTTTAGAGCCATCCATACTGAAACTGCAGTGAAGTCTCCACATGGCCCCTGATGTGAAATAAATTACTGTATTATTGATTTAAAAATCACTGAAGAAACATAAAAGTTGTAACATGAATATGACTCACTGAAAGAACACTTGCAGTGTGAGCAAGGACCTGAGATCAATCCCCAGTAACTCACTTAAGAGCAAACATGCTCAGACAATAAAAGAACAATGGCAAGAGACAATTTCCATCTCAGTTAACCCCATCACTTATAGATACTACAGTGTTTCAACCCCATCCTCTCAGTTACTCCAATAACCCTGTCTCCCAAATAAGGCTAAGGTTTATCACAATTAGTAGTTCACAAAATATGGTTGAGTTATACTCTGATCACAAAGTAGTGTTCTTGGGCTTTTGAAAACTTCAACTATTTCACCATTTCTCAGAAATTTTAATGTATTCAAAAATGAAATGCAGGGTAGTAAAATGGCCTAGCTGGTAAAGGTGTTTGCCACTAAGCCTGACAAACTTAGTTTGATCTCTGGCCCATATTGTGAAAGGAGATAACTCAATTCTGTATGGCCCCTATCTTCTACATTCATACCATCATCATCATCATCATCATCATCATCATCATCATCATCATCATCATCTCAAACATACCCTGAATAAATAAACATTAAAATAATATAATAGATGGGTAACTAAATAATAGTGTTGTCAGCTATCTTGCATATACTGGTGTTCTCGACTACATTGTTGGTTTAATATAAAATGAATAAAATAAAATCAATAAAATGAAATATACATGTTTTCTCTGATTTTAATTTATTTGATTGCTAATATCTTTTAGCCAGATGGTTTATGAATAGATGAGTTTCTGACAATAAAGTTAAGAAGAATAATTATATTAAAACTCTATTGTCCATATCTTTTGCAGTTAAAAGTTCCAAAACTTGTTTATATGGGTAAACTTAAAGAGAAGGAGTCATTTGGTGAGATCAGTGTTCTTCTTCAAGCTCCTTTCTCATGTACAATTATTTCTGGAGGAGAAGTTGAGATGATGATTATCGAAGATAAGGATATACTTGGTAAATATATAAATGTTGTTTACTTGTTGTACCTCCTAATCAAATGGATTTTTGAAAAGGGCAGGGGTTTTTAACGGACAAATCAGGATTATACAAGTGAATGTGGATATATAGGTAACATAGGTAAGAGATACACAAGATAGATGATAGATAGACATGTAGACCAATAGATAGATGCCCCTTTTCATTATTCTGGTTCAGTTTTGTTACTATCATGTTATATTAGGAAAATTTTGAAATAGTGAGTTTAAATTACTTTCTGATAATTCACAAAGTACTGTTAAATGTAGCAGTCCTGATTTAACACGGATTTTTATGTTCATATTTAAGGCCATTCTTTTGTTATTTTGAATCAGATCAAATATGTACAATGTTTAATGTACAAATCTCCAAAACACTAACATATACATGCATACCCAAATAAGTATACACACATGCATAAATACATGGACACACATGCATACCCACATGTAAAAACACATGCATACACATACACGTACATCTCTATTTTTCAATATTTAAGTCTTATACTTAAACTTTCAGGTTCTAGTAATAATAAAAATAATGATATCATAGATTAACTCATACAATTGAATATAAGTAGAAATGAATAGTAGTGAAGCCATAACATAATAGGATACTAAGTGGTTCTTCACACATTAAAGCTATAGAATGCCATTTGTTAGTTAAATAATGAAATAGGGGACATTTCTAGACATTAACATGGATGAATAATTTTCTTAAACCAACTCAATGGAGCAGTGTGCTTGGGTCCCATATTTTGAGATTTTATACATCTTCTGGAGAATGTACAGGCTATATTTGCTAAAAATCTTACTCAGAATTAAATCTATTCTAATTTCATGTGTGTATTTTTAAAAGGAGTGGTTTTGAATGGATATTTGTTAATTTTCTTCCTTTTTGTTTCATTCAGATATAACTTTCTGGAAGCTAAAGATCATTTAAACATATACTAACTACCATATAAAGTAATAATTATTTCACTTTACTTTATCTATGCCATGTTTTTCTTTTCACTAACAGTATTGCTGATATACATGAATATACTGGGTCTCCTTTTATGTTAATAAAGATTTCACAGATTACTATCATTCAGAGCTCTGTGGAGAATCAGAACCAACTGAATATTTTTATATGTAAAGGAGATTCACTGGGAAGCTACTCAGGTGGAACAAGGCATTCAGGAAGCTGCAAGGAATTCTCTTTGCAAAAGCCAATGTTACTCAGTCTAAAGACTGAGGCCTGGGATTAAGGGAAGCTGTAGAGAGAACTGATTTTTGCCCTAATATGAGACCAAAGA